TATAAAATCTATACATCGTCCGGGAGGCGTGTTATTATCGAACATTGTACAACAATTGATGACAAACGGCCAATGCATCCTTTAGGCCGGGGGATCGTAGGATGTCCGCAGTTGAAAGGCAAGTGGACGAGAGAAAGAGAAGAAGGCGAATCGAAGCGGGTAGGAGGTGTGCACACCTCTTACGAGTTTACGAGGCCTACGTCGAGCAGAACGAGCGGACAGTTACCTTTCTGTTTCGAGACCGCGAGGATCTGCTTCCCTCTAACGCGCGGGAATTCATCGGTGATATAGCTTCGCTTCTTTTCTCTTTTTCGTCAATTTCTCACGTTTTCGCTAACAACCCCCCCCCCTCTCTCCTTCTCCTCTCGAAAATTCCTTGCAAAACCCTACGCGAAAGATCGTCGACGGTGGCAAACGGATAAGATAACGTAAACGTTTAAACGTCGCTTCCGACATCTGCCTGGAAACGTTATCCACCGGCGACAGGATTCCTCGTTGAAACCTTCGCGGACAGATAGTGGATACGGTACCCTGACAGAAGGATTTTCCTCGATCGCGGTAAGCTTTTCTATCATCCTGCGTGGAGCTACAAAGATCACTCGAGCGATGTTCGCAATGCGATGGAGATACAATAAAATTTAGATCTATTTGCATGAGGTCATTAAATACCTCGAAAATAGTGTTGAAAACGTTTTAATAATTTGTATAATTGAATGAATCGAAGAGATTGCTTGTAATAATTAGAATAATTTAAGGAGTGTCTACGTTTGTAAAACTGTAAAATGAGGTGAATAGAAACAAAACTTCAAAATGTTAGATTTTGTTGTTTAATTTATGTCGTTTGCAATTGTAAAGTTATCTATGGTCCATTTTGGTTGTCTTTGTGTTTTATTAATATGTTATAATATTATGATATAATATACGTTGGTAAAACTGTAAAATGAGGTGAATAGAAACAAAACTTCAAAATGTTAGGTTTTGCTGTTTAATTTATGTTGTTTGCAATTGTAAGGTTATCTATGGTCCAGTTTGTATCTTTTCAGTGATATATGGTTGTATTGGTCTTTGTGTTTCATTAATATACCTTTTGATGAAAATTTATTACTGTTTACTTACTTTACCTACTGGCTGTTTTCATTCATCTTTAACATCTAATAAATTTCTTGCTGGGTAATTAAAAATACAGTTCAAGATAATAGTAATACCAACAATTTCAGCTATGATTCAGTATTTTCCAGTTAAAGATAAGGATATGGCAAAACTCCAAAGGTGTAAAAGTGTTTCCGTTCGCCTCATTATACGGCATTAGTTTCCATGAGACACCCTTTTCCAAAGAATCTAGTCACCGAATTGGAATTCCATCCAGGAGCTCGAGCTGTCCATTAAACATTGCTAATTTTCTATATTTTTCGTGCAACAAGGTTTCGTAACACAAAATTGACAGTTTTGGGTAGTTTACCAGGTTACTAAAAGTTTCGCGATTCCTTGGTACCATTGGCACACTCTCGCAATAGTTTTCACCGACGATCGACAGAAATGTTGATTTTTATCGCGCCACAAACGCCATCGTTCCGGTGCTGTGGATTAAATTTTGCAATAAGATAGACTGCAGCGCGTAACAATAGTAACGTTTAATAAAACGCGATCGAGCTGCCAACTTCCTGCTGCGCCGCGTTATCCTTGCATTGTTAAAATGTTTGTGACCTTTTAGCAACTCAGAGCAATCATGGACAAATTTTAATTTTCTATGTTTCGATGGACTCTTTTAGAGTTTATAGAAATAGTATTTTATTGTTAGATTCGTAGGAAATGTTCTTGTGTAATAATTGAAAACCAATACCGCCAACGTGTAGAATAGAGTTTGTATATTTATATCAAGCTTTGCTATTGAAAACAAAATACTTTTCCTATATTTGTACTATATATTTGTATATACTCTATGACTAGTTACTTTTGGATATAAATTTTATAAACATTAACAACGAAAGTCTTTTTCTTTAAATATAATCCTAAGTAGAGAAAAACGTTTTCAGTTTTTTAGCACCATGCCTTGTTTATTCTACACACTGTCGGTATTCGTTTTTAATTATTAGTCAATAATGTATTCTATAAACAATTTATTTATTCTTGGACACGTGGTAGCTCAACCTTGTAACACTATTCTTAAAGAGGATATAAAAACTATAAAACTATGTCGTAACGCAGAAAAGTAAAATCTGTCTGTGTCGATGCTCAAAAAGTTCAAGAATCATTTTGAGATGACAGATCATGAAAAGAATTATTTTTTTATATTAAAAATGATGTTCAATTGTAATTGATCGCGATTCATTCGGATTGAACCCGTCCCAATCGTTCTGTTGCAGACTGATCGGGGAGAGCGTGTTGCTCCCAATCAGCGAAATGACGCTAGTTCTGTTATCGTTCTGCACCCTGCTCGCGTGTGTCAGAGTGCAGGCCATCTCTACAGCGTGGAGACCAGCGTTTCCGGCGCCATCGACCAGTGGTTTGCACCAGGATAGTCCTCTCTTTACAACTGGGCCAACACAGTCCCTGTTCGACCTCGAGGCCCAGTCTTACTTGGGCCAGCGCGAGTTGGACAGATGCGCTCTCTACAAGGTCTCGATGAACCAGCAGTTGTACTTCGAGGTATGATCGAATAGACAATAGCAATCTCTCTACCATTGGTATGAATAAAATACATGTGTTTGAGTACTGCAAGGAGTTGTAAAGAATGCTTCTGATAAGGGGACCACGTGACGATTTAACGAGGCTTTTGTAGACAGAGAATCAAAAACAGCTGGTTTGCTCATACTCTCAATTAATTATGGCATACTGAGGAATAGAGATTAAATTTTGCACTGGCTCGCAGAGTGCTTGTGAGATATAAAGATATAAGAAACCTATAGGGTGATTCGCTTAAAGGTTAAATATCGCTTGAGGAAATGAAGCTACCGAAAAAATGTTTTTACAAAAGTTATTTGGTACAAAGAGAGACATTATATGAAACAAATCATTTTTTGCAAGTGAAATCGTGGGAGGGATCTAAGAAACGGATTTAATTTTCATAAATGATATTATAAATGATCTCATATCATAAGTTGATGAATGTTTCTAAATAAATGCTATTTTATGACGAATAAAAATATATAAGTTACGACTTTACTATTTTATTCAGAAAAAAATTATTTACTCCGTACAGTGTCTCCCTTTGTACCGAATTACTTTTGTAAAAACATTTCTTTGATAGCTTCTGTATAAGAATTATATATTATACAAGAAAGTATAAATAATGCCTCCTTATGACAAATTACAATTATTATAAACCTTTATTAAAAATTGTACATAATACTGTAGAATTTGATCAGGCACAGTTTCGTTGGTTCTTTCATTCGGGCACAGTTCCCTGGTTCTTTCATTTGTCGACGATTCGCGAATAACGGTGGTTCCACGGGGAACTCGCTTTTCGCTCGGGATGCGTTTCCTGTTTGGCCAGGGTATTTCTTCGGTTCTCGCATGCTACGAGCACGCGGCGTCACGGTTGAGATAGCCCGGTTAGACATCGCGTGTAAAATGACACGAATCGCGGCGCTGCAACGAAAGCAGGAGAAAACGGCGTACGCGAGGACGGCACGCGAGCGTGCTCCATCGAGATCGACCGACTTCGCTCTTCGATCAAGGTTAACGGAAATGAAAAAGACATTCTCCGTGGCGATTCGAGGCGCGTCCACCGGACGGACGATCTTATCACATCAAACGGAACGCAGTCCACGTTCAAGTGCATTGGGCTCTCGCGAAATCAGAGTGTAGGAGTCACTTTCTACCTTTGTCGGGCGATCTCAGGCGATTCTGTGGCTCTTACATAGGGCAGGTGGCTTAAAATGGATACACGAATGACTCGGTTAGTCTTGGTGATAGATAATAATGATTCAAATGAATCTTGTTTAGTTTCAAGGAAAGCATAATATTTGTTATATGTACATATATATAAAACTGACGTTATGTATACGTACATACACGTTATATACGTATATATATGAGGATTAATTCCTAATCCACTTAACTTCTTTTTCCACTGTGTAATATTCCACTCCATAACATAAATTATAATTGGTATTCAAAGAGTGTTGGATACACAGTTATGTATCTCTTATGTATTACTCGAAATTTGTATGTACATATAATACATAGATACAAATTTCCCACTAACAAACTAACTTTTTTTTCACTGTAAAATGTTCCATTCTATAACACAGATTTTAATTTATATTTAAAGAGTGCTGAATAGACGGTAGTGTATCTCTTATTTATTATTCAAAATTTAGCCTATTTCTAATGAAAGCTACAAACATAACGATTTGCTGTACAGTAAACTATACAGCTGTGTTGACACGATTGTTTGAACGATATTTCTGCAGTATGTTTGTGGTTTATTGTAATTGTACATCCAGAGAAATATATATGTATGTGTGTGTGCATTTTTGATATCTAAATAAATGTTTCATTATATTGTAAATGTGTACATAATAAACTTTATACATATACATATATTCATAACGGAACATTTATTTAAAAACATGAAATCTGTCGTTTAATTTATACAAATTTCTTCGATAAACATAGAGGGATACGTATACCTACGGGACTGTCTGTATATAAAGACAATTTACCAGTACCTCTTGCAGTTCTCTTTAAAAATAAGTTAATATGTATTTACAAATATCTCTTACATTTCATAATTACGAGCAATATTTTTGTAGATGGAGATATAGAGGAGATAGTAAGATTAAATTCTTTTTTTAATATGGTATTATCAACTTTATATTTTAAAATTTGGTAGAATATTGCTTTCTGAGAATAAAAATATTGTGAAATATTTATTTTATAACTAATTGTTTCTGAGGTATTCGACTACCAAAATATTGAATTTGAAACTTTAACCTCTTGGAGGATATTGACACTTATGTATATGTTTACTTTTACATCAAAAGTACCGTTATTTATGATCATGATACCTGAGAATTAAATTAATTAGAACTAAAAAATATACGATATTGAAGTGTGGCAGCATATACTCTATACATTCCATATTGTTGTTAAACGAATTAAATAAAACGAATTATACAAAATTTTTGTTATAAAAAACCTAGAATTTAAAAGTCGTCCTTCAAGGGGTTAATGAATAGAATTTTCCTCAAATTTACTCCTTTCCTACCCTTTGACTCAATTTTACTCTACCAAGTCGAGATAAATGACAACGTGGATACCTATGTGTTTCTCCTACGTTAAGAGCTCGCGCTGTCACGCGAAGAAAATGCTAGATGGGTATAAAAACGCAGTAACGCTCACGTTCAGTGATGCTCGACAGTCGTAGTTGTGGCGAAAACAACATTATAATTTTACTGTTGAATGTGAGCGTCGTGTAGTTTAAGCGAGTGTGAGAAGTCTACATCGGAAATGTATTCTTCTTGAGAATTTCTCTGGATGGACCATTTACTACGAAGCAAATAAACATACTGCACGAATATCGTTAAAACCATCGTGTCAACGCAATTGTATACATTACTGCACAACAAATCGTTATGTTTGTAGCTTTTGTTAGAAATAGGCTAAATTGTTATCTATATACAAATTCCGAATTATAAATAAGAAATACATAACCGTTTATTCATCACTCTTTAAATATAGATTAAAATTTCTGTTATAGAGTGGAATATTACATACTGGAAAAAGAAGTTATAATAGTTCGATCAGTGTTAAGTAGATTAAGAAATAGTCTTCGATCGACTAAACGACATAAATAAGTTACAAAATATTGGTTCAGATCACAATCTGCTATACGAATCAAATTTTACCTATTACTGGCCTCTACACCGCTTGTTACGGACATTAAGCATACCTTCTTGTCAAACTACTCGTTACTACGAACCTGTTTGCCTATCCTCGTCTTGGTCTTGGAAAGCTATTCTAAACCACAAACATGAGTTTATTTCTCCATCAATTAGTTACAAAAGAGATTGAAAAGTCCTTCTCTGAATTGAATTAAGAAATGTCTTGTTATGTATCCAGTATAACTAAACGCTGGATTTATTCAATTACGTATGGCGAGTTTTTATTAACTAGTTTAATAATTCATGTAATGCAATTGGGTAGAAGTAAGATGTAGGTAATACTGGTATTAAAAAGATCAAACATTTTAATTTTTAGCCCTTCAGAAAGAGTAATTCTTTATTGTGCTTAATAATTATGCCTTTGCTACAACTTACTTTTTAATATACAGGGAATAGTATGTTGCAGCAATATATGACATTCTAATCTGCTGGTGTGTGGTCGAGGTCAACTGTTAAAAGTTTTAACTGTTCAGTGGATATTAGAAAGGAACTTGTTAGAAAGAATGTCATATGATCCATTAAGAATATATGTATATACTTTTAAGTATAATAAAGAAGCATGTTTCCTAAAGAGAATTTTCACATAAGAATTGAAAAGTTCAATTTCTAATATTTTTCATGTAAACAATACCTAGATCTTGTTACCACTAAATCACCTTGCACCGCTTAGGTAGAATGATATCAGTTACGAAGATTACAATTACTCTAATCTAAAAATGTGTTTATTGCATTTTCTATACGTTCTTGATTTATTCTTTGTTTTTCTTTTTTTTTTTTTTTGGTGGTATAGATGCTTTGTAGATTAAGAATTAATGATATTGCAACATCTGTGACTTTAACTTCCTTTAGAGTTATTCATTTTTATATTACTATCATTAAAGTCTTTGTATACAGTGTACGTTTATTATGATACAAAATATAATTTTGCAACGGTCAGTTATGGTCAGAGACTGCTTTCTATACCTAATCTTCAAGTCATTGCTCAAACAAACTAATAAACACTATAAAACACAATCTTCGTCTTCTACTTTCTCTTTCTCCATCTTCCTCTCGCAATGGCACGGTCATTGCCAATGCTTATTGGATATTTTTTTATACGAGATTATCTGGTTGAATATCACATCAGGATATATAAAATATATAACTGATTGAACATATAACTAATTAAATAGACATAGTAATCGAGCTACATATATAAGTTGTTTATTATGAAAGTGGTGTAAGTAATTTTTTTTTTTTATATACAGGTTCGGCAGGCAATGCTTAAAATAGATTGATGTTATCTGTAGAAGAGTTTCAATGTTAAGGTGGTAACATTTCCTTACCAACACAAGTTGCTCAAATAAATTGATAGTGACATAAAACGTTTATTATAACAATGATGTAAATCCCATAAACTCGAATAGTCTCATGTTTATAGGATAGATGTGGATGTAGGAACAACATTATATTCTTAGATAATATACCTATGATACCTAATAAACCTATAATATATAATATTAGCAAAATATTACATGTAGAAATTAATTTTGTGCCTTTATATTCATTCATTTATAACTCCAGTTTAACACGTTCCGTGCAAAGCCGTTTTTTCCTGACGTGATCTCCAGGTCATTTGGTGTTTTGATTAAAAATTGATATATTATCACACAATATGTCATTACATCATCAATCCATAAGTAATTAATTGTTTAGACTAGTATTAGACGAGTTTAGACACCGTGTACCATTTATGGCACATTCATATTTTCATAAACA